TCGTTGGCAGCGCAGATTTGTCTATGATTCACAGTGGGGGCGACAGGCCCGTTGTAAGGAAGTCGTAACAGAAAAATGGCAGAAGTGTTTCCCAAGGTCTAGAGAGGACCAATTTATTGGGAAATTAGGCTGGGTGCGGAAAGGCCTTGTTCTATGGTGGAGACATGAAGGAAGAAACTCTTCTGATCAGATTAATTTAATTCAAAGGCAATTGCACTCTGCCTACACAGACCCTATTTTTGAAGGCTCTAGAGTAAGAGCTCTGGAACAGGACCTCAAGGGTGCTCTTCGTGAGGAGGAGCTATTCTGGAAGCAAAAATCCCGCATACAGTGGTTGAATGCAGGAGAAAGGAATACAAAAATTTTCCATTCTAAGGTGATGACCCGCCATCGCCAAAACCGTTTACTGGGTCTAGAAGATGCAATTGGTGTCTGGTATGAGAAGGGATCTGATGTTCAAGCTATTGCTATATCTTATTTTCAAGAGTTGTTCACCACATGTCGCCCATCACACATCAATGAAACAGTAGCTTGTGTCAGTCAACGAATCACAGAGAGTGAGAGCTCCAATTTTCTTAAGGCGGTTACCCAGGAGGAGGTCTTCGAAATTGTAAAGAGTATGAGCCCCTCAGCTTCTCCGGGGCCTGATGGCTTCACTGGGGCCTTTTACCAGCATCATTGGCTTGTGGTGGGTGATGATGTCTTTCGGGTAGTTCAGAGCTTCTTTCACTCTGGAAAGTTACCTAGACGGCTTAACCACACACACATCACCCTTATTCCCACAATTCCGAATCCACGAAATATGAAGCAATGGAGACCCATCTCTCTTTGTAATGTGATTTATAAAATTATTTCAAAAATCCTCACCAACCGTTTGAAAACTATGTTGTCTCAGATTATTAGCCCACACTAGTCAGCCTTTGTGGCAGAAAGGCAGATCACGGATAACATCTTAGTAGTGCACGAGATTCTTCACTCTCTTCAAGGGAGTAAGCGCTCAGACCCAAAGACTATAGCTCTTAAGCTCAACATGGCAAAAGCCTTTGATCATGTTGAATGGCCCTTTCTAATTGCAATGATGAAGAAACTAGGTTTCCCCTACCAATTTTGCTCTTGGATTTTTGAATGCATCTCCACAATTTCGTACAGTGTTCTAATCAATGGTGCTGCAATTGGAAATATTAAGCCCTCGCGGGGATTGAGGCAAGGGGACCCTTTATCTCCTTTCTTATTTCTTATTTGTGCAGAAGGACTTACCTCCCTCATTAAAGCATACGAAGAGCGACAAGCTTTGCATGGCTTCCAGCTACGTAGGGATGGCATAAGCATTAGCCATCTCCTATTTGCCGACGACTCTGTTCTATTTTGTCAAGCAGTTGAAAGGGAAGCGGAGTGTGTTGTTAACAGTCTACAGTGCTATGAAGCGGGTTCTGGCCAAAGCGTCAACTTTGACAAGAGTTCTATTTTTTATAGTGTCAACTGCTCTTCTCGCCTTCGCACACAAATGGAACATATCCTACATGTCAAAGGCCACAAAGAATTTGGTAAATATCTAGGCATTATGGCTGATTTTGGAACATCTAAAACATAGGTATTTGAGGAGGTCCGCCGCAAACTAGATGGTGAGCTCCATGGTTGGGCTGAACAGTTTCTCTCGACGGCTGGCAAAGAGATTCTCATTAAAGCCGTTGCTATGGCCATGCCCTGCTATGCTATGTCCTGTTTTAAACTGCCAGTAACCTTGTGCAAGGAAATTGAAGCTGCCATCGCGAGGTTTTGGTGGAAGTCCCACAAAGAGAAACATGACATTCATTAGGTTAGTTGGGCTAAATTATCTCAACTAAAAAAGGCGGGTGGCTTGAGCTTCCGAGATATCCAGTGCTTTAATCTTGCCCTACTTGCCAAGATTGGTTGGCGGATCCTACATTACCCAAGCTCCCTGCTTGCTCGCTTGCTACAAGAAAAGTACTTTGTCAGGGAGACTTTCCTCACTGCCACCACTCGAAAATCTGCCTCTTGGGGTTGGAAAGGCATTCTCCAAGGGCGAAGAATACTTGAGTCTGGTTTGTGTTGGCGTATCGGTGATGGCTCTAAAGTCCAGGTGCGCAATGATCCTTGGCTTCCTACCCCTTACACCTTCCGAACTCTCTCGTGACAGTCTGACTTACCCTTGATGGTCAGTGAACTCATTGACCCCATTTTGCACACATGGAGAGAAGATGTGATTGATAGATGCTTTGCTCCAGAAGAAGCCAGCCGCATCTTAAGCATTCCAATCAGCAGGTGGGGCTGTCCAGACAAGCTAATTTGGCATTTCAGTACGCATGGACAGTATGTCGTTCGGTCTGGCTATGAGCTTGCCCTTCACCTGCAGAGGAATGGTGAACTGGGGCGTAAAGGAGCTGGAGAGGCCAGCGGTACCTGCGCTCAAAGTACAGTTTGGAAGTCAGTTTGGCACGTCGATGCTCCGCCCAAACTCAAAGCTTTCATTTGGCGTGGTTGCTCCAACATTCTAGCGGTGAGTAGAGGTGTCAAACGGGACGGGCCGGCCCAGCACGGCACGAGCCAAGTCCGTTTAAATGAGGCACGGCACGGCACGAGCACGAATACTAATGGGCCGTGCTCGGCACGGCACGAAAACTTGGGCCGGGCCGGGATCAAAAAATAGGTCCAATGGACCGGGCCGGCCCATGGCCCGATATGGGCCGGGCTTGGCCCGAGCCCGCTTCAAGCACGGCACGAGCCCAGGCACGAGCCCGAGCACGGCCCATTTAGCATTTTTTTTCTTCTCAAAAAGTCAAAATGCAATAATTTGACATCTAATGTCATTGTTTATATGTTTTTTTTTTTATAAAAAAATCATAACCATATATTTGATGTCTTTCATTTTAGGGAAATTACTTGGGTCCTTAGTTAATTAAACATATCAACTACAAATTAATTAAACAACATTGGACTTGATATCTAATCAATACATATGATATATACGCTTCTCTTATAATCAAAGCAAAACATTTCTTCACATATAAAATAATAAGTTGTTTAAAGATGAAAAGTTCAAGTGGACTTTGTGGAGTTGGACACTTTTTGCCCTCCGCCCTTCATATTGTTTGGATGTTTGATGATTAATGTTTTCAAATAGTTTATAATTTCTTGCCTCTAATTATATTTTTAATGTTTATAATTTGAATTATCTAGTGGGAAAAAAAAATCAAGCGAAAAAAATTCAAATTAAATGGGTTGGTTCTTGGGCCCGAGTATGGCACGAGCCCGGCCCGGCCCGTTTAAATATGGACATGGGCTTTGGGCCGGGCCGGGATCAATGATTTTATTAAATGGGCCGGCACGGCACGGCCCGATAAATTAAATAGGTCGGCCCAGCACGGCACGAAAATGTTAAAAGCATGAGTTTAAATGGGACAGGCCGGCCCGGCACGGCCCGTTTGACACCTCTAGCGGTGAGGCATAATTTGCGTAAGCGACGGGTATCTTGCACCGGTGAGTGTGGCCTGATCGGTGCATATTTACATATCATTTTGTACCCTTCTAGCTTATGATTTGGTTATGTTTTTGAGTTAAACTTGTGCTTTTAATCCTTTTTGTGTTTATCTTTCAGTTCATTGAGCTTTAGGTAATAATGAGGGCTTTGGATAGTAAATGATGCAATCCATGCATGTTAGGGCCTAATTTGGATGAATGGATGAAGAGCTTAAAGACAAACTCAATTTTGGCTACAGTCCCCTGCCAGCTCAGTTTCATAGGTCATATTGCAAGCTTTGTTTCAGCAACCTATACAGCTCAGACGAGGCCGCATTCTTCACGAAAGTTGTTCCAATGGGTGTGTACTATAACAT